ATTCTATGCATAGAGGTGGTAGATATTGTTCTATATGCGTAGCTCTATTAAGTATTCAAGTTTAATTCCATGTGTCCTAATAAAATCTATTTTTATATATATATATACACACACTTCAGGCTGGAGCAAATGGGCGGGATCAGATTTATTCAATAACCCATAACATCAGGGTTTAATTTTATGATATTTTGATGTGAATAATATATCCAGAACGGAAAACTTTAGAACGGTTGATATCGAGATCAATGCTTCACTACAGTTTCAGAAGAAGTAAATATTTTCATTTATTGATAGCGCCGATTGAAGGATTCATAACTCTGATTGGATAATGAGATAGATATAAAGATAGATGTTACCACCATACCATACCATACAAGCACTGCTCTCTTTTGCTAATCTGAAGGCTAATTTAGTCTCCAGATTAATTTCTAGAGATTAGGGATGCGCTCTTTAACTTTTGAAAAGCCGGTTTTTATCTGTCCTGCATTGTGTGTGATGTCATATCAATTGGACTATTGATCGATTGAACGAACTTAAGTTTTGGATTAATGTTTATTAAGATTAACGTTCAAAACGACTATGTGCTCAAATGAGATCAAATATGTTTTTTAATAAGTTCATATTAACATGATTAAATTCACATTTGTTTAAATGCTCTAAAAGCCAACTTGTGAACAGTATATTAGTCCAATCGATATAGCATCGTATCTGTATTTGTTATAAAACGTATCTTTATTAAATGTAGTGGTAAATTTGATATCCAACAAGAGCGGATTAAAAACAAAATTAAAAGTTTCCACAGTGGATATTCAGATTAAGCGATCAGAGCTGGGAACTTTAGAATGGGATATTCTTAATCCAGATCGGTTAATTAATCTGGAGATTAATAAAAAGAGCAGAACAAGCATTATTTAATCTGGATATTAAGGAAAATTCCTTAATTCCTTCATCCATCATTCATTAGTTCCCAGCTCCATGGATTACGGGAATTCAATTCTAAAATTTTATTTTAGCTTTTCAGGGACTTTAAACTTTATTTTAGCTTTTCAGGGACTTTAAACTTTATTTTAAGTAACCCTCCATGCCCAATTCACAACTGTACCCTTAAACTCTGATCAAGTATGAATTTTGTATCCATGTTTATAATTTTGAAAACCATTTGTTTTAAAATGTGGTTTCTCTACAAAAAAGACTTGCACTCGTTTACAAAATTTATTAATTTCTAGCAGATTAATGTTCTTATTATTAAAAATGTTATGGATTTTTTCTTAAACTAGAATTGAATTTGATATTAAATGATATTTCTGGAATCAGATAAGGCCTGCTATCATAAAAAAGAGTTAATGCATTCAATTTTATGCAACAGTTGATTATAATCAAATCAGTAGTTTTTTTGTGAAAACATAGCAAATTGAGAACTTTAAATTAAAATTATAATTAGTTAGTTTGTGTGTGTTTGAACCCTTTTAGGCTATTTAAGTATTATATAGATGGGGCGGGGGTACATTTCAATCCTTTCTCTAGATGGAGAGTTAATAAAAATTGCCTTGGATCAGGGGCTTCCACATAAATTCTGTTCAGGGGCGAGGGAGCTTAATCATTATTTTATTCTATAAATGTGGGGGTGGGGGGGGGGGGCTCAGCTTCCATAGCCTCACCCCCTGGAAACACTCCTGGTTTGCCTAGTTTGCATGCCTAATATTTGCAAACCTACTTGCACAAGGTGTCTCAGTTTTCATGCTCTTGCAAAAAAATAATCTGATCAAGGTTTCATAATATTACTTTCATCCCCTAAAATCTACACATTTGGGGTGTAAACCTTCTTATTTTTCAAATTTGAATTTTTTGACATAAGAGAAGTCATTGTTTGAAATATCAAAGATTGAAACCATCAGGTTGCACAGATAATGAGAAAATTCGAATTTTTCGCGAGTTTTCAGTTGATTTTTCATTGTAATTTATAATAGCGGGGGTCGATCACAAACTTTTAATCATCAAGACAACATTTTAAACTATTAAATAAAAGCAAATTATTTCCAAACAATTTTTCTTACGCAATAGAGCAAACTATTAATTATCAGCAATAAGAGCAAACTATTGATTATCAGCAATAAGAGCAAACTATTCATTATCAGGAAATAAGAGCAAACTATTGATTATCAGCAATAAGAGCAAACTATTCATCATCAGGAAATAATAGCAAACTATTATTTATCAGGAAATAAGAGCAAACTATTATTCATCAGCAAATAAGAGCAAACTATTGATTATCAGGAAACAAGAGCAAACTATTTCTCATCAGCTAATAAGAGCAAATAATTTTTATCAAAGAATAAAAGCTAGCTATTAATTCTAAGCTAAAAAACTGCTTTTTATCAGCTAATATGACCAAACTATTTATTATCATCAACTAAGAGGAAACTCTACGAGGATACTAATGTTTCTGGTTTTGGTAAAAAAACAATAACACTCCAATATTGACATTAAGAGAAGGTCAAATTTATGCTAAATGTCAATTATGTCTTTGTGACCTCGTAGCTCCTACATTATACGACAACATGTGGAAAAAACTAATTATTTGGAATTACACATTAGAAATTCTGCTCAATAAATCTTCATAAACAGAATTTTCAAATGATAAATATTTGATTTAACGCGAAATTTAAATCAGATTGAAGTGGAAAGTTTTACAAAAAAACTTAAGCGTAATTTTGATCTTTTTAAATTTTCGGACACCCCTGCCTGATTACACGCATTAAACAATTTTGCATAAATTAATTAGCACAATAATTTCCCTTGGTTAAAAAGTCTGGTTAAGATTATTAAACTGATAAGAGACGGGGTTTAAGTACAGATAGTTAGGAAGATAGATAAACCGAAATATAATAGGAAAGAAAGAAAGTTTGAAAGACAGACNATAAATAGAATAAAACAGAAGTATGGCTAGAAAGACACAAACAAAGGAAGATAAATAGAATAAAACAGAAGTATTGTTAGAAATACACAAAAAAGGAAGATAGCTAGAATAAAACAGAAGTATAGTTAGAAAGACACAAGAAAGGAAGATAGTTAGAATGAAACAGAATTATAGTTAGAAAGACACAAAAAAAGTAAGATAGCTAGAATGAAACAGAAGTATAGTTAGAAGACACAAAAAAGGAAGATAGTTAGATTGAAACAGAAGTATAGTTAGAAAGACAAAAAAAGGAAGATAGCTAGAATGAAACAGAAGTATAGTTAGAAAGACACAAAAAAGGAAGATAGCTAGGATGAAACAGAAGTATGGTTAGAAGACACAAAAAAGTGAGATAGCTAGAAAGATAGAAAAACTGTAAGATATCTTAAAAGATAGATTGATTGAAGGTGTATCTTATACGTATTTGGACCATGAATATGAAGAATGTGCTGAATTTAAAGTTTGTTTAAAGGAACTGCTATGGGAAATTGTCGTTTTTCTGAATTAAAAAAAAATTAATTCTGTGATAATATTTACTTAAATTCTGAAAAATGTAGTCATTTTTGTAGAGAAACCACAAATGTAAATACACAAGTTTAAAAATTAAATTATGGATATAAAATTCTTTATTGATCAGACAGCACTGGACATTACGTTAACGGTCCCTGTAAACACTGAAGAAAACATTGTTTTTGCAATGCTTTATTTTGTTTTTCTTTCTGCTAAGCTTTTGTGTTGTAAAATTTTCAAACAGGCTTTGTTCTGTTTACTTTGAGTACAAAGGCATATATGTATTTATAATGAGTTACCATTAATAAATTCCTAAAGTTGGGAGAAGCAAAAAAATTATCAAGTAAAATAGGTGGCAACAGAGAAATGGATCAATTATACACGACGTCACAAGTGTCAAATATAACAAGGACAAAGAAACTTTCGCACATTAGTTGACATAATTTCTAAGATTAAATAAAAAAATGTAAAAGAAGAAAATAAAGAACGCATGAAATTGCACTTCTTTTACTGTAAGATAAGCACTTTATTCTAAAATTGTCACAATTATTACTAATTTTGTTCGGACACAAAAACTGAATTGACACTTGTGACGTCAGAATACAGCTGTACCGAACAAGAAATATATAGTTCCTTGGAACTAAGAGTGTACAAATTCTAAGTTGCCATTACTATTTGACTGAAAGCGTATTTTCACGTGACCCATTATAGATGCAAAGATAGGAATTCCCGATATACATCGGTACCCTTGAAACCTTTTCTAATCAATAATTAAGATGAAATGCTTGTTTTTTTTTCTAGAGTTTTAAGTGTTTAATACTGCACAGTTATTGCTTTATGGATTCAAGCAATGCGCAAGTCACTTTTGTAGAGAAGCCACAGGTGAAAATAATCAGTTTTCCAAATTATAAACACTTCCATAGAAAAGCTTTTCAGGGTACCGGAGTAATCGGACATATCCAATGTTATGAAATTAAAATTAGGAGTTATGAGGTGGCGAAGTCATGATTCCGAGTTTTAATTTTTTAGACTTTCTTATTAAAATAGCCGCAACGTGTGATTAATCACATTACGTTTAACCCTATTTGTTTAAAAAACAAACGGATGAAAATAAGGCTAAATAATCATTTATTCTACTTCTCTATTATCTTACAGCTTTAGTCACATGCAGTGACGCATTCCAGCTTTAGATGAAACTTGATCTTTTTAAGTATTTCTATCCATCCTATCTTTTGAAAATTGTAGTCCACGCACACAGACAAGTTCAAATTTTAAAATAAAACTGCAATTAACCCGAAATTAAATCATTTCATTACAAATAAATCTACAAAAACATGCTTAAACCTTCCTCGAGCATTTTATCTTGTTCATATTTTTTTTATCATTTATTGAAACATTTTCTTATCACTTTGACAAATCAAAAACATCACATTTTTCAAAAAATAATAATAATTAAATTATCAGTTTATGATAATTAAATTATTAAAGATTAAAAACGATTAAATTATTAATTAATAATTATGAGAATGAATACTTTAGTCATTACTTTGCAGGGGTTCACAGCTCAATTAATGGATTTGAGAATTTTCTTCCAAACCAAATAATTTTAAATTTGGAGTTTTTAAAATCTGAAGGAATGCACAGCCTACTTTCGGTAGTTCATCACTTATATTAGGAAAAGAATTTTCTTTTCTGACTTAAATGTAAATTTTTCTTTTTACAATTGCGACTCCAATCTTGTTTGGATTTCATTTTTTTGTACACTACATGTGCCCAATGCTGTTGTCAGAGATGAGAATTCAAAAAATATGAAAAAAATAAATTTGTTACAAGTTTCCTGAATGTCTCTCTTCTTCAAAACAGGCTTAAAATGTAAATATTAACTAGTAAAATATGCACTTTTTTGCAAATTACTGAACAATTATTTTAAATTTCCCAAACTAAACCACTAACCAACCCCGGGGTAAATTTGTATGAATCATAATGTCCCCTTCCCCCCCCCCACCCCGAAGAAAAGAAAAGTGAATTAAAAATAGGTTTAAGTTTAGAAATTAAGTACAGAGTATTTGGAAAGTTTTAAAGGCCAAATTAGGAAAGAAGATACAGAAAAAAGTTTTTGAAAGACTACACATGAGATGTCAAATTATAAGGGGTCAAAAATGGGTAGAAATCGCCATTTTAAACCTCCTTTTAAACTTTAACTTAAGAAACATTGAGAACTGTTATTGAGTACAGTGTACTTTACAAAGTACATATTTCAATTACCAAACCTACGATGGTTTCTTAAGGCTAATTACAATTTGTTGATATGAAAAATAAATTTACACAATTTACCAGCAAAGAAACAATAAAATCAATTTAACAGTTGAATTTAAAAAAAAACTGTGAGTAAAATAACGATTGTAAAATGTTGAAAATACTAAATCTTTTTGGCAAAAGTGATTGTTTTATACAATTATACAATAGTACATGCTTAAATAACCTTACAATAAATGCGTGCACATTTGCACAATACAATGAGTACACTTGGTAAACAAAGAACAATGGAGTACAATTAGTACAAAAATGTACAACTACAATATTTCTGAGAATGTGTTTTTGGTTTATAGGGTTTAAAGGTTTTTGCTACGATGTAAATTATACGATGTGAGGTTTAGAGAGACTCTGAAGGAAATTTTTTGGTTTTTTAATATTGGGGAGCAACTAGGCGCTATCAGTGCTCTGACAGCATTCCAATGGAGCACCTAGGCCATGTGCTCCATAATTGCTCTAAGAGCGTACAGTAGCAGCGCCTGCATTTTTGCTTCGATGATGAGTATTTTCACGTGAATCTAAAAATAGATTGTTAAAAATTTCTAGTTTTGCAATTTATACTTTGTCCATGTTTCACCTCTATTTTCTATCATCTCTATGATTTGAAATCAATATAATCTCTTTATTTCTTTATTCAAACATCTTTACATTCTCTGATGCTCGAACTTTAGTTTCTTATTCAAATGTTTTATAATCTCTAAGTTTTATTTTAACATTGTTTATCTTATCTATTTTTAATATCTCTATTTTCAATATGTCTATTTTTATTATATCTATTTTTATAATCTTCATTTTTTTATTATCTCTGCTTTATCATATATGCTTTATATTTTCTTTGTTTTATTATCTTTATACCATCTCATCTCTTTGTTATCAAAATGTTAGCATATATATACCTTTTCTGCTAGTTTAAGATCCAACATTGTATTCTGTACAGATGTGTGGTTTAGAGATGCTGGATCAACGGTACTTCTTCGAACCAGGTTCTCTAGGTTGGTATCCAGTAGTTCCTGAACCTCGTTATAGTCGTAGTCCTCATACACAACTCCATACAAAGACTAAACATTATTTTGATGCATAAATGTATTCTATTTTTTGTCGTCTCTTCTAATAGTTTACTAGTTTTAATAAACGTTTTAACAATTTTCTTAATCCAAACAAAATAGGAACATCCGTGACATTTCTCATTGTTATGATCATAAAATTTACGATATAATAAATGCTTACAGATAAATCATTAACGAAAAGCTAAGCTTTTCAATAGAAAGCCTAGTATTACGTATGTTTAATTTATATGAAAATAAAAAAGTTAATAAGATGAAATACAATAAAATCTGTTTATGGCATAAAAGGTAGCAATAAACTTTGCCAAACTTAGAGAAAATTCAACTTAGCAATTTAATTCTAAACTAAACCACATAAAAATAGTGAATTAAGCAGCAACAAAGCAAGGTCATTATCATAAATTAGGCCACTTTTTCTAATCCTGTAAAGCCCCCCCCCCCTTCTCCTCATGTGATGAATATTATTTGTCAATGCCTAATCCTCGAATAATCCCGGATTTGCATAGTGTGTGAGCATGCCTGAGCACTGTACAGGGGTTTTAAGGCTCAGGATTATTTAATAAAAATGGTAACAAAAGNGGGGGGGGGGGGGGGGTAAATAATTTTGTACATGTAACATATTCTGTATATGAATCCAGATGTATGTATAGTATTCAATGTTAGTACCTATACATGGTTCCAGATGTATGTACACTGTACAGTATTCAATTTTTAGATGTCTGCACAGTGTAAAGTACTCAATGTTAGTACCTGTACATGGTTCCAGATAGCTCTCCTAAACCTAGATGTATCCACAGACTTCTTGTTTCCATAACTGTTATTGGTCATATGCGTGCTCACCCTGCATAAATATGGTATTAAAATCTTGCATAAAATATTATACATAAATATTGTACACCTTGTGACGTTTTACAAAAAACATGGTACACCCTGTAACATTTTACATAAAATATTGTACACCTTATAACATAATACATAAATAGCACACCCTGTAACAATATACAAAAATAGTACACCGGGAACATTGTACATTAATATGATACACCGGTAACATTGTACATTAATAAGGTACACCGGTAACATTGTACATTAATATGGTACACCAGTAACATTGTACATTAATATGGTACACTGGTAACATTGTACATTAATATGGTACACCAGTAACATTGTACATTAATATGGTACACCTGTAACATTGTACATTAATATGACTCGCTCATAAAAAAAGCCACGCTATCGACTGCAGGATGAAGCAGGAAGCTGTTTAAAATTATGATTATAAAAAAAGAGAAACAAAAAAAATTAAAACTGAAACAGTATCCCTCCTATGATTGCGATAATAGCAACACATATCTTGATCTTAGAACTATGTTAAAAAAGTGCTTCAGTCAGTGTTTCCACTAATAAATATGCTTTTAGTATTAAAAAGATTCCATGACGTTGAAACTTAAATCTACACGTGGTCTTAAATGCTTTCTGGACATGATTTCATAATTTGATTACTAAAGAGTTTTTTTTCATTCTTGACTTTTGATATTTAAGATATGTTTAACATTCAGTTCAGTTTGCACGTTTACATGGTTTGTATTTAAGATGGTTTCTAAAAAAATATTTCAAAATTCATGGATACTGGCTTTAAGTAAGTTGTAAACAGTAACAATATTGCTCGTAAAACAAACTTTTTTTGCAACACTTTTATCACTTTGAACTGACCAAATTTGCAGACTTTTTGCACCCTGCTTTAATGGGTAATTGTGCGAAACTATTCCTAAATTCGTTGGACATTTGTAAATACAAGGTTTATGTTCCATTTCGCCGCCTTTGCATAAAGATTTAGTTTGTTGGTACGTTTTCCGATCTTAAGAGTAGAATAGAAACATTCTTGATTTTTATTCTTCAATGTTTGTTTTAATTACATTTTACAAAATGTTTACTATGCGAGTAGAAATAGATTGTTTGAAAAATCGTGTTGATTGACATCTTTTGCCAGTAAAGAAAGAATAAAATGCCTTAAAAAAACCCTAGTGGAGCCTCATAAATATGAAAAACTTTGAATGTTTGAAACGGACCAAAACACAATATATCATAATTTAAGCGTGTTCAAATAACACAAAGTGTACTGATATACTACAAGGAATGTGTATTGCGTTGAGTTGTTGTATTTTCAAGAGAACTGAAATATGTTGCACCGCATGTGTGGATAATTATACAATCCTTAAATTCCTAAAATTACGCAAAAATAAATAGAGCTGAGAAAAATTTCCAAATAAAAAAAGATTGTATTGTATGTCGTTCAAGTTATTACGCACCTGAATTTATCATCTAACAGGATCGACATATCCGCGTAAAAACGAGACATTACCGAGAATCCATGATCGTCCCAGGAAAAATCCTAAAAAAAAATAATCCATTAAAATAGGAATTCTGTTATATCAAGTAATCTAAGTTAGAAATACAACAGGTTTACGTCATCAGGTTGCCAAGATTTAAAAAAACTTTAGTTTGGGTCAAACACTCGACTTTTTTTGTGGAAACTCATATGCCCTCAGAGAAGGTTTATGACTCGAATTAAAAAGGTTGCCTCAAGTTAAAGCATTTTTAATTAGTTTTTTAAATCCACCATAACAAAAAATCTGCGAAATCTTACACGAGTATATGGGTAAATGACTGCTCGTTAAGTAAAATTAAAAAATACAATTTTTTATATATTTAGTCTGTAGAGACAGGTTATGTTAAACGTCTCGAGTCTGGGAACTTTTCAGCTGTTTTAACTCAACAAATATATTTTCGGAGAAAATCTCATCAAAAATTTTCCATTTTAAATCCAAGCTATAGCTCTCTACACGTGTAACTTCTGTTGTTTCTGACAACATGATAGTGCAGGGACTGTAGATGTAATTTCAAGTGATGTTCCATTTACAGACTGGGATTTCCTATTCACAATGGTGCCTTTACAACCTTTATCTGAGTAATAACTAGGTTAATATCATGATTTTTCTAGATTAATATGCATTCGCAAGTCACTTTCCTAAAAAGAAACCATAGTTGGAAATAATCCATTATCAGTTTAAAAATTAAGAATATCTCATTCAACTTTGATCGGACAAAGGAGTGCCCTTGTGAATCAAACGTGTCAAGTTATTGAAGCAAGGGTCACACCAAATTCCACATCTGTCCTTTTAGGGTTGTATTAATATAAATAATATTCACCAAGAATTGATATAAATCCCCGGCTAGAGGTGTGCTGAAAACTCACTTTTACGACCACTTCCGGCCTAATATCACATTCTTGCGCACTACAGAAATGGGTTAACTTGACAAAAGTTAAACCCCTTCAGAGCGGAATTTAAGATACACCAGTAACATTGTACATTAATATGGTACACCAGTAACATTGTACATTAATATGATACACCGATAACATTCAGGGGTTCACAGCTCAATTAATGGATTTGAGAATTTTCTTCCAAACCAAATAATTTTAAATTTGGAGTTTTTAAAATCTGAAGGAATGCACAGCNATTGTAATTGCAAAATTTTGCAACAAAAAAAACTTTATCAGCATCAATTCAATGTGCGAATATGAAATTTTATAGTTTAATATTCAGAAAAGTTGACGCAACACAATTTGATTAAATTGTGTGAAAAAAAATACTTGGCAAACGCAAGGTAAATCCCAATGATTTTCAAGGGCAAAATATAAACAATAAAAATGTATGCAAGAAAAGAAATTTAGAAAAAAAGCTTGGAAATTAAAAAAATTTGGAGTACATTTTTTGGGTGGCTTGTTGATCCAAAATATTGTTCTAAAACACTTACATGTACTCTTAGCTGTAGGTTACTTGAGTTTGGCAGAGTGGATAGATCTATGTACTTGTACTCAGGGTCTTCTGTGTACTGTACAACAGGGTTCAGCTTCTCAGAAACTGGCGGTAGACTGTACATGTGGTCCAATGCAGTACAAATATCCTCCTTATAAAAAAATAAGTTAATTGAAAATATAATAAAATAAGATAAATAATAAATGAAAAGTTAAGGATGGGAAAAAAATGAATGGAAAATCAGGGAAATGTAAAAAACGTAATTAATAAATGAATAAATGAAGGGAAAATGGAAATTGGGAAAATGTTTGAAACATGAAAGTAGTGTATAAATCTATGAATGAGGGGAAAATTTATGAAAATGGAAAAATGTATAATGCAATGTATAAATGTATAAAAAAGGAGAAATGAATGAAAATGGAAAGTGTATAAAAAAAGAAAGAATGGTGTAGAAGATGGGATGTATGTATGAACAAACAATGTATACATGTAAAAAGGAGGGGAAATGAATGAAAATGGAAAAATGAATTAATGAATAGAAGATGGGAAATGTATGAACATAGAATGTATAAATTCATAAAGTAGGAAAAAATAATGAACATGGAAATATGTATGAAAAATGAATTAATGTATAGAAGAAGATGGGGAAATGTATGAATGAGCAAACAATGTATAAATGTATAAAAGAGGAGAACTAAATGAAAATAGAAGTGTATAAAAAATGAATGAATGAATTGAAAATGGAGAAATGTAAGAATGAGCTAACAGAAGGAGGGGAAATGAATGAAAATGGAAAAATGTATGACACATGAATGAATGTTTTGAAGGGGAAATGAATAAACAAACAATGTACGTATAAGGAGGAAATGGGAAATGACTGCATAAANCTGATGATTATAAGATTCTAGCCCCGCACTGCTAATGGACAAAAGAGAGGGGGGGGCATGAAGTAAGGGAGGGGGGGACTACTCAGCATATACAGTAAGTAGTCCCTGAGGCTTTATGAAACTGATATATAAGATCAAATTCTAGAAAAAATTCCACGAATTCAACTTAAATTTCATTTAATTTAGTTTGTTGAGAGAACTGAAGTGGTGTATAAAAGAGACGTATTTATAAAAGTGTAGCAATTCTTTGGTCCCAGGCTCTATAGATAATATCAAAATAATTCGGAATTCAATATTAAGAAAGGAAGTATTTTAATAGGATGTGCGGTATTAAAGTGTGCGCTTTTTCCTCGAGCGCGCCCAGACTGTTTGTGAGGTGCGCCTAGTATGCACAGTTTCTAATGATTAGGGAGTATTTGCTCCTACTGTGCATCAAATAAATGATTTGAGAGCTGGGCGCACTGCACCATAATGCACCCACGTTCTCTCCACGGAATAAAAAAAACTAAAAAATTTAAAAACATTGAATTTTCAAAAAAAACCTTTATTCCACAAATAAAATTTTAACTATTGGCAAGATGGAAAAGTCGAACAACTTTTTTTTTGGGAGAGGTTTGAACAAACTTAAAAAAGTTTTGTGATAAAGCCATTGTTCAGGATTTAAAATAAAGATTTACTTATTGTAGGGGTTCAAGTGATGAAAGGAAGGGCGGGGTTTGGGATTAGGATGACAGGGAAAGGGAGGGGAGTGGGATGTAAGAAAACTGTATAAAGTAGGATGAGAGGGAGGGTGGGATGACTGGAAAAGGGGAGCGTGAAAGGACTAGTGGAGCGGGATGAACGGGGAGTAGCGATAATCCCAGTTAGACTCAAGATAAAAGGAAGGAGCGGAAGGAAAGGGGGAGGGTGGTTAGAAGGGGGCGGTTTCTGTTAGGGGATCACATTTATTTACAAAATAATTAACCCAACAAGAACAAGAACCTAGAGATAGCACAATGAGTTCAAACATGGTTACCAGTTCCGTTGATTAAAATAATAAACAAAATCTTTAGATGTCTGTCTACACAATATATATAACCTTTCCAGTTTTACAGGAATACATATAACAGTAACATCAAAGTGAAGTGTACTGCAGATTCTGGGAGGATCGTAAACAAACATGCAGGCTCAGGCTGAGCATTTTATTCTCCTTCTATAAACTACAGTACACTTCAACAAAGCTTGAGAGTTCTTGGTATAGTCCATTCACGACATCATGTATTATAAAAACTTTATAAAAAATACCTTTTTAACGTTTTCAGGCTTAGTTTCCTCTTTCACTTTGTTAGTCTGTGTTTGGCCCTGTTTATTGCGTCTGCTTGTTTGACCGTTATCACCCAACTCGAAACTGCAGGCACTGTGGAAGTGTACCAGAATCACTAAAATTAAAATTTATCTGATATCTTTAAAATTTAAATATCTTATATTCTTGATAAGAAAACAAACTAAAAATTAAACATTTACCAAAAAAAAAAACTATTTTCAGCTTTGAGAATTTGCAATCTGTTTTATGCTCAACTAAACCTTCATGTGCCAATACGGAGAGGTTCTTTTCCCCTTTTGCAACCCCCTGTCAAGTGTGCATCGAAATTTGCAATTCTAAACCAACTTTTTGCACATATACTTCCTTCTCTTTCACTGAGCATAACTCCCTGTCCTCTAGCATAGTTTTTTTCTTAAACCTATCAACGCGTTTACATATCTTTGTTAAATATGTAAACATATTTATTTTTAAATCTTACCAATAGCTTGAACTAACTCAGCCAACGACCAACTCCCTTCCCCAACGGTCAATTCCTATTATTAACAAGAAATTATTTTAATAAAAATGAATAAAAAAATATAGATATTTAAGACATATTAATATCATCATGTTACCTTAATGTGTATTTGAGAAAGACACCAGGGTCTGTGAGCCAAAATCTTATTGACTGTAACTAATCGCCGTAGTTTGATCGGTGCTGAGCTAATACCGTCGAGCCAGGCGGGGTCACCGCCGGCCCCCAGAAACGCCGATCTTTCACAGGCAACAAGACGACCCATTCCGTAGCGGGCACACGCCTAAATGATAAAATAATAAAAGTTTCATGTTTTTCTTTCTTCATAGGGAAGGGGGGAGGGTTATTTATTACCCAATATTCGCAAACAACCTGCTGTGTGAAAAACGGTGCTCTTTTGATAGTTGAAATGCGAAGATTCTTAACAATAGATTTTTTAGATTGAAACAAGATAAGCTGAGATGCAAATAAATATTGCAACTATAAAAATAAATTTGCACAAACATTTAATGTTCAAACAAATTGCTTTATTTCTCTGTAAAAGGGATTTATGCAGAAGAGGCAAAGAAGGATATTGACAGAATCCAACAAATTTAAAGTTCAAATTTGACATCAATTTTGCTAAATAAAAAAGTTCCTTTCTTCAATTAACATCGACAGTTCTCCTTTTATTCGCCGACTTTCGCCTAATACGTACCATGATTGCGATGTAGTGACGTGTGGGGAATGGAAGTGGACCATCTCCTCCCAGAAGGTGTGCCCGAACCCTCTGGTTAGCCTCACAGTAGGCAGGATGAACAGTTAGGGCGGAGAAGGGATCAGGTGAACTAATTGAGATGGTTGAAGATGGCGTGGGTTTGGAATTAGGTTTCAACGCAGTCTTGTGTGTAGTTTTTTCCTAAAAAATCAAAATAAGGCTGAAAACATATCGATATCTATTAAGTTGTAATTTATAGATATAAAAATACACATGGAAGCCAACCCCTTTAGAAAAAAATGTGTCATAGTACAAATAATTGTTTAAAACTAATAATTTTTATATTTATATGTCTATATTTATATATTCTCATACACAATTTTATTTCTACTTTTTTGAAGAAACAAAAATGTAGTTTAGACTTTAAAAACGAATTTTTAGTATTATAGTTAAAGAAAAAATATAAATTTTCTTAAACCCTATTCAGCCATTCCTAGATTCCAAAACTTAAAATATATCCATTTTTTCAGTATTAAAATATTCTTCTAACAAAGAAGTAAAAAAATGAAAAATATTACGCTTTGGACTTGAATCATAATCATAATTGTAAAGATGAAATTTAAATAATAGTGAAGTGTATTTATTACCTTTAAATGATGTCCCATTGTGAATTTTTGAAATTTAACTATTGATGCTGAAAATAAAAAAAAATAAAAGCAATATTCTTAAGATTAAACAGTATTAAATGAATTCAATTTATATATTTTTCCTTTCATTTTCCATATTAAAATAAACTACAGTTGGATTCTAGCAACACAAAGAGGAACATTAAATACACGTTTTTATGTGTTTACTATTTGACGGGTAACGTCAAACTAACCCCGGTGCACTGCAGCCCGGCTAACTCTCTCCCTCCGCTCAGCTGCTTCGGGCCCTGGAACTTCTCAACAAAAATTAAATATAAAATATTAAAAGAATTGTTTCAAAATGTTTTTTTTAATCCGTTTTATTTTAAATGAGAAACCTAAATTTTTAAAAAAAAAGTGCATAAACCTAATTTTTTGTTCTAAGAAAATCAATCAAATAAAAATTGTTTAATAAGAATTTTAAATATTTTTTTTTTGTTTTTTTTTCCGGGCCCATTAAACCGGTTCATGTTTCTATGCAGGATGAAAAGAATTATGACCATGGTAGGTAGACAGAAATATAGATGGATAGATAATTAGATAGATTGCTAATCGGATGCACGTCCATTCTGTACATTTGTAAAAATATATATATTTATATATATTTATATATAATTATTAATTATATAGTTCATGAAAACTCTGCAGTCAAGTCCAGATAGCCTTTTAAAATCATTTCTTGCTGAATGCTGGGCACCAAAACTAAGTGAAGTTGCAACATTAAAAATTACGTTTTTTCAAATGTATAGATATTTACGGAACGTGGAATTACTATTTACAATTTTTTTTAAATGGCTATAAGCTTAGATTAAGGGAGTTTTAATGAAAAAATTTAGAATTCCATCTATCATATACACATAAATCTAAATTAATTTACTGAAGCAAAATAAAAATTATTGACACCTTTTTTACAGATGTTTTAATAAATCTAATTTTGATAATATATAAAAATTATTAATACATCATTTGAAAGCTCTTATATTCTACTTCTAGAATCCGCAAACAAATTTGCATTCTTTGCAAAAAATTGATTTTTTTTTGCAAAATCCAGTCCAGCAGTAAAAATGTTTGGAAAAAAAATGTCCAAAAATTGTAAAATATACATTTTTGAAAATCCCTTGACCATGTCATTTCAAATATGCAAAATGTTTGCAAAATTTCAAATAACCTGATGTGTAATTAAGAAAAATGTGCAAATTTCTTCAGACGGGTTGTATGCAAAAGATAAGCATAATTTTCTTTGCAAATCGTGTTTCCTTATGTTGTAGGCTTTCCAAAAAGCTAAAAATGATCAAAATCTGACAACTACAAATGGGTCAAAACAAAGATTTAGTTTGTTTCAGAAAAAAAGTAGCCATTTAGGCAGTGTGACTGAGGACTCAGGCAGTTAGTATAAAAGCCCGGGTTTTACCTAGAGGGAGGGCTATGAGAATTAATGAAAAGTCAGAAGATGTCAACAGCCTCAGATTCCCGTTTCTGCGCCTCATGTAGTTGTGTCCAGTGTAATTATTGTTTTCATGATTATTTTTTGATTATCGACATCATTCACTCGGACACAGAATTTATTCAAACAAATCTAACAATCAATTATACATTTCCTAAACATATTTTAATTTAGAAATATATAACATTTGCTACTATTTTCATATTTTCTATAAATATTTATTTTGAATAGGATTAATAATTTGTAAAATCATGTTTAATAAATAAGATTTGTAACATTATATTTAATTGAAACTTTAAATATTTATGTTTTATGAACATTTCATTTGATTTCATAAAAATACATTCAATTATAGTACAATCCATTAAATTACATTAAAAAAAAATATTACATTACATTTCTTCACCGTTGTCCTTTCTAGAGATTGAAATATCCTTTGTGTGAGGTATGCAGGGTATGCCAAACAATGTAGTTAACTAGTTAAATCCTAATATGATATTACCAATTAGTTTTGCCCTGTCTATACACTACAGTACTCTCCTTGTATCCAACACTAAACACTATTGTTTCAAAATATTATAATTGGTTTCAGAGTTGTGTCAGAAATTTATAAAGATTTTATAACATTAAGATATAAACAATTCTGAAAGTTAGTCATCAAATTTTAAAACAGCCTCTTATTTAAAGTGTCGCATTGCCTTGCCCTTTGGTTACACCTAACTTACTAACTTATATTTTTCGCGCTTGTTTCTAACTTAAGTTCAAAAGAAGTGTTTGGCAAAATAGTAAAATATATTGTTTCAAAATATTTTAATTGGTGTCTGAGTTGTGTCAAAAATTTATCAAGATTTTCTGCTTAATTTTCTGCTTTTTCCTTCGATTTCACCCGGGGAAAATATTAACGAGAATGGAAATGGTACTGGTCCAACCTGAGAGATCCTGTCCCCGTGAAGAGCAGACCACCGTACCTTCTTGAATTTGAAAAAAGTTATCTAAAATATTATTGTAAAAAATGGATAGTGTTTAGGGTACCTACCTTTCACTCTAAACATAAATTCTTTTTTAAATAAGCTGCCCTTTTATTTGCCTTCTTCATTACAATGGAGGGTTTTCTAAATAAGTCAATGAATCTTCTATAATCATACTCCATAGTAAATTTTTTATATGACAATAGTTCAAGCAAATACAAAATTCACGATTTTATAATTTCCTTGAACCCCATGTCCCATTATCGACAAAACATTGAAAGGCCCTTTTCTCCAGATTTAATTACTGTAATTAAAATCGAATCATGATATATTAACGCCTCGTTTTCCCACAACCCTCACAAATAAACCAAATTGTACAGGGTGTCCTCCGAAAAGTGTCAACAAAATTTTGACTCGTTGAAAACATTGATTTTTCTGTCTCCAATTGTCCAGGCCATTTTGTATTGCAGATTAAAATAAAATTGAATATTTTTGGTACGACGTTGTAGTTTTTATGAATCACCCTGTAAACATTATGAAGATTCACAGGTTCAGAGCATACGTAGGCAATAGGCTTATTATCCCAGTCATGGAACATGAAATTTAAATTAGGGGAGCTTATTCGTCAAGAAAATACACGCTATCGAGTTATAAAGTATAAAATAAAGCTTAATAGTAATCAAGGCGGTAATAATCCTCTGATTTGTGTGCACTTATCACCATTAAAGGTGTTAGTATCTGTTGTTTCAGACGAAATACATCGATACTAGCCTAGGAACTCAATATCTACCTGGAAACTGATATTACTAGCCTGGGAACTCAATATCTACCTGGAAACTGATATTACTAGCCTGGGAACTCAATATCTACCCGGAAACTAATATTACTAACCTAGGAACCCAATATCTACCTGGAAACTGATATTACTAGCCTGGGAACCCAATATCTACCTGGAAACTGATATTACTAGCCTGGGAACTCAATATCTACCCGGAAACTAATATTACTAACCTAGGAACCCAATATCTACCTGGAAACTGATATTACTAGCCTGGGAACCCAATATCTACCTGGAAACTGACATTACTAGCCTGGGAACTCAATATCTACCTGGAAACTGATATTACTAGCCTGGGAACTCAATATCTACCCAGAAACTAATATTACTAGCCTGGGAACTCAATCTCTACCTGGAACCTGATATTACTAGCCTGGGAACCCAATATCTACCGATTGTCCCCTGGAAAAATCAACCTACTAGTTTCTAAACTTAGAATTTTGAAACCAAGCTAATATAATTCCCGTGGTTCTACCGAGTTTCACAAACAAAGTGTATGGCAAATCGGTCAAGGGGTTTATGAGTTATGATTTCACATATACAACCAAACAAACTTACACCCACATAAGCAGAGATTACCACTTTATATATATTTATATAGATATATACTAAATGATTAGATACTAGAAAGGTTAAGAAACTTCATCGTAAATTAGGATTTATATTCCGTATTCCATTCATTTAAACACAAAAGGCTGAAACCAATTTCCCTCGAATTTCTTCAAATTCAAGAAAAATCCAACCTCCTTTTTTTTAAGGACTTTTCTGACATTTACTTTTGTTTCGTAATCATTGAATTTAACGATAATGTTATTTTTGTTAATTATTAGGATCAGGGACAAAAACGTTTGGTTCCACCATTTGACGTTTTTGAGCCTTTAACATTGGACTGGGAAATTTTATTTTAAAAATAAATTTTTAACGAATAAAAAATATTTTTGCTTTGGTATTTACAAAGAATTTAATTCTTTGAATAAGTTTATTTGAATAAACATAATATTTACAGAGGACATAAAATCAGTTCTCGTAAATGTTTGACCATCTGTAGGCTGTAAGTGTTAAACCCCCCCTGTTCTTTCATCCAATGCGTTCCTTTTTAATTATTAAAGGCATCAAGAACCGCTATTAAACCCATATAAAAGTAATGTTCGTACAGAGGGAAGCGTAATAGTACAGATTAATCAAGCTCTGGCAGCGCCAAAACTTTTTCATTTAAACAACCTGTCCCAGCAAATATGTTCAAATAATTTTTATGATTATTTAAAAAAATGGAATGAGGAGGCAAGAAGAATGGAACCTAAATGAAAGGAGAATGGAAGAAAAATAGAAGGATTATGGAAGGAGAATGGAAGTAGAACGGAAGCAGAATAGAAGAAGAATTGAAGGAGAATGGAAGGAGAATGGAAGAGAATGGAAGGAGAATGGAAGGAGTATGGAAGGAGAATAGAAAGAGAATGGAAGGAGAATGGAAGGAGAATGGAAGGAGAATGGAAGGAGAATGGAAGGAGAATGGAAGGAAAATGGAAGGAGAAAGGAAGGAGAACGAAAGGAGAATGGACGGAGAATGGAAGGAGAACGGAAGGAGAATAGAAGGAGAATGGAAGGTGAATGGAAGGAGAACAGAATGAAAATGGAAGGAGAAAGGAAGGAGAATGGAAGGAGAATGGAAGGAGAATAGAAGGAGAATGGAAGGTGAATGGAAGGAGAACGGAATGAGAATGGAAGGAGAAAGGAGGGAGAATTGAAGGAGAATGGAAG